TAGAGTATGGAGCAGAGAGATGTAAAAAGTCAGTGCTGGAAGGCCTTGCAAAAGTCTTGGCGACAGGTAATACTCTCTGGACCAAGATGGTAGTAGTAAAGTTGGAAGAAAGTGAATGCGTTTGTGAGAGATTGGGAGGTAGATTCAATAAATTGGTGACTGATGGGTGGGGCATTTCCAAACTTAATTGATTCTGTTGTCTTAATAATGTTCTGAGGAAATAGTGTTCCGTGGAATACTCTGTTTTAGGACATATCCTTTATCTCTCTGAATATATCTTAGAAATTTTCTCTTTGAAATCAGTGCTGCTTTTTAATAGTGAGTATTTAATTATTCTTTAAGATAAAATTATCCTTTTCGTAGTATTTACATAGTCTTAAAATCTGTACGGACAATAGCTTTTCCCCCCAGTTCTTCATTTTTTTGTATTAGTGGTCTTTGTTCTTCCCTGTTATCTCCTTCTTTATATTTTAAATTTATGATTCCTAGCCTTCCCACAAAAGATTGGCCTCTTGCATTCCCTGTCAGTTAGAGTACTAGTTTGTTTTTGTTCATAGAGGCAGTTGCCAGGGATCTGCATACTTTTTAGGACTTAGCTATCTTGTTTTGTAGTTGGAGATATTGTCGCTAAAGAAGCTTATCTCTAACTACTTTTCTAGGTCCAAGGTTGTGTTAAGAGCCTGTGGATTCTGAAGTCTTATTTTCCAGATAACATGATTTTATTGTTCATCTGGGGGAGGGGGTGGGGGAGAAGCAACTAGAAATTATAATGTGATTTTCTTGTACTTCTTATGGTGTCATTTATTATTGTTTCCAGCAGCGACCCCCCGTGGATGAAGTTCTCAGGGAAGGTCACATCAATTTGTCAGGTCTCCAGCTCAGAGCACATGCTATGTTCTCAGCAGAAGGTCTTCCTTTGGGAAGTGATTCCTTAGAATATGCGTGGCTAATTGATGTGCAGGCTGGAAGCCTTACAGCTAAGGTCACAGCACCACAGGTATGATTCTCGGAGTACTATCTCCTGACTTTCTTTTTCCTTTCTTTACACTATCACAAGAATAACTTGCATGCCCGTTTGAATGTTCATTACATTTCCAGTAATGGTGTTCTGATGGAAGTCATTCTTGCCATCCAGAATTTTCTTAGCAATAGATGAATCAGAGACAAGTTTTACTTTTCTGAGCCACATATAATTGACAGATGTAATGTTTCATAGTTCTCTATAGCACTTTTAAGAATTTGAGATTTTCTTTGGGAAAAACTCAGGATGAGAACTGTTCTAGAAATCAAGTTAATACATTATTAAAATTATACTGTTGGAACAATCTTTTTCTAGTACATGGTATAATTTTCCGAGAACTTTGCTTTCTTGTATATTAGGTAGGATTTGAAAGTAGCTCTTATGATGCTGAAGATTAGGTAGCATAGTTTTTTGCTTGTCATGTCCTGAAGTAAGGTAACATTTGTACCTGCTACTAGTGATATATGTACTAGTTTAAAAAAATAAAAAAAGAACTTTGCTTTCTTGTATATTAGGTAGGATTTGAAAGTAGCTCTTATGATGCTGAAGATTAGGTAGCATAGTTTTTTGCTTGTCATGTCCCGAAGTAAGGTAACATTTGTACCTGCTACTAGTGATATATGTACTAGTTTAAAAAAATAAAAATGAATTTACTGGTAAGAAAATCTGGTCTAGAGTGCTAGGTGAGATCCTTTTGGATAAATTCCTCTTCCCCCTCCCTATCCCATTTAATCCTTAGTAGGCTCAGAGGCCTTAAGGATTATTTAACTCTAGAAATAGACCATTGATATTTAGTTGAATAACCATATTACTGTAACATTTTATCTGCTGCATCATGTATTTACCATAGTATGAAGGCTTATCTTAGCATTTCAAAAGATTGGAATGTGGTAGAAGTGTATGTTCTCAATTTTGACAAAAAGTTACAGAATGGGTATGAAACATAATTTAGATGTAGGTAGTAGCAACAAGAAGGTAAATAAAGAACCTAGATACTTGGTATACCTGGAAGAAATTGTCAGAGGGCAGCAAAAATTAATATTCTAGAAATAGTAGGAAAATGAGTGGAATTGAAAAAGGATATTTTGGAGTTGAATGACATCTCAGTATAATACTAGAATGTATAATGATATGTACAAAAATGGGTGAAAAGGAATATATAATGGAATTTGTAAAGATGGGTGAAAGGAAATATTCAGTGCTCTCTGGCCTTGTAACTGTACTCTCCTTATTATCCCGTTTTCTGTCCCTAAATATATGTAAAAACTGAAGCATATAACAAAGCAGCTGTTCCCTAACAAGGGAATAAAGCCATGCTGACCCCGCATGAATGGACACAACACAATTCCTTTTTCTAAGGACTACTGGAATCTCATATGTTTAAATGGCCCTTATTATAAGATAAAACATTCCTCTTTCTTCTGCACTAGAATCTTAGCATCACTGTTTCCTGCATGGTTCATGAATCCATAAGATGCTTTTACATTTATTCCATTCTTTGTATGTTTTAACAGTTTTCCAAGAGTTTAAATTATGTACTTCTTCAGGGAGAAAATGTCATGTATACTCATCCCTTGATGTTTTTATTGTTAACTCCAATCAATTATAAAATTAAGATGTTTTTATTTAAACTCAGGATTTGAGGAATTGATACTTAATTGATACTCATATGTGATACTTAAGCTCCTATTTATATAAACAAAAGTGCTAAACTTAAAAATGCCTAGTTTTCCAAAATTGTAGCTCAATATGATATGTACTGTACTTAAAAATTTCGTATAAAATTCTGGCTTATTATTAAATGGAGAATTTTAGGTGCTTTTCTATGTGGAGGATTCCAGTTAGCTATATAGAAGAAAAATATAATCTTGAAGGAAAGATATTTGCTTTAGATGTTGCTGAAGTAGAATTTTTCAGTGGAAAAATTTCACTTTGGCAGTGCATTTTGTCATTCACAGATGAAAAGCAGCACAAACTTATAAAGAATGTCAAGGTAGAAAAATCAATGGCTAACAAGTAGACTAATTAGCAGCAGGTATAAGACAGTGTTTGGGTTCTTTCAAGCCATGTTAATGTTGTTCATAAGCTTTTGAACTCCGAATACTTATTTAGAATGCTAACAGTGTTGTCAACCTGTCACTGATCATCTGTAGCTGGCATGCCTCTTGGAGTGGGGACAAACATTTGTTTTTCATGTGGTATGTCGGGAGTATGAACTTGAAAGACCAAAATCAGTAATAATATGTCAGCATGGAATTGATCGTCGGTTCTGTGAATCCAAGGTATGTTAACAAATACTTTAGTAGTATTGTAAACGTTTATGAATTTTTTTAAAATGAAAGATTGAGATGGCAGCTTTTAATCAAATGGACATAGCCATGAAGTAAACAGTACAGTTCAGTTTTTTTAAGTAATGAAATTATTTTGCAAATTCTTAGTTGTTTTAAGTATCTAAAATATGAGATAATTATTAAAACATACATTCACAAATAAATGGAGATATAAAAATTATATCTTCTCTCTTACATTTTTACTGTTAACATTCATGTCTTATTGCATTATTATACTAACTCTTTAGGATATGACTGTATATTTATGTAGAAGGTTTAGAAACTGAAGCAAGAAGGTTAAATTCCTTACATGACATAGTTTGCAGATGACTTTGGAACATGCCTGTTTCCTATATTGTGATTACCAGTATTGGACATTTGGTGGGTTTTCTGACTCCAGACCTTATGCTCTTTCCACAACATTGTGCTGCTTTTGGATTTCAGTGTATCTGTGTCCAAAGGATTAAAAAAAAAAAAAAAGCTTATTTTTGAGAAAAGAAAAAGAAAATCTTACATCTCTAAACTCATACAATTCTTGTAAACCTGTGACACTGTTTACTTAGTTTACTTTGTTCTTTTTGAGTTTCAGTAACAAGTTGTATATGTATTCTGTCAGACTTGCAGCTTTCCCTTTTTGAATGAAAATGGTACATGCCTACCTACGACTAATTTTCTAATTGGTAACACTTTAATTGCTGATGATTACATTTATTATTATAAAAAAATGAAATTTAACCAACTGATTTTTTAAAAAATAAAATACACATATAACCAGAATTTTTTTTTATTTGAATAAGGAGACTTACTTAAGTATCAATATAATGAGTTGATGGTGATGAATAAAGTGTATAATTCTCTTTCATTTTAGTTGAGTTGTATTCCTGGTCCTTGTCCAACTTCAGATGAGTTGAAATATACTATGACTCGTTTAGCAGTAGATGGAGCTGATATCTATATTGTGGAACATGGTTGTGCTACAAATATAAAGGTAAGCATTTGTCTTTTTCTTTTTCCTTTTTACTAAACCAAACTTCCATTTATTGAAATACAACACACATTTATAGTTTGTTATCTCACGGACGACCACAAAATTTTAGAAGATAGCTTTCTATTTTTAATTCATCCATGTTCTCTTCTAGTAGTATTTTTTAAAGGCAAACCTTTATCATTTTTTTTTACTGTAACTGAATTATGATAATACTGCTTTATGGCAGGGATAAAACTAGCAGGTTGCTTTTATGGCAGGGGTGTAAACTGGTAGTGTTTTCAAAAGATTAGACTTGGAATGTTTCTAGCTTTTATACATTTATATTTCCTGCCTGGCTCCTGAAAACATTTGTTTGCCACCTCTAGTTTAATTGGTTGCTGTTTACAATCAAGCCATTAAGTTTGTGTGATTTCATTACTTACTCCTCATCTAACTTTTCATCTTCCCTTGTTTCCCTTTGTACTTATGCCATTTTCCTTTTATCCTCTTAATTTTTTTTTATATTGCATGTCTATTTTTATTCTGCTATTGCATTTAACATTTCAATTTCCCTCCTTTTCTTTTTCCTTTCCCATTTTTCCTTTTCTTTTTCCTTTTCCTTTTTTTTCTTCTTTCACCTATTTTTAACTCTGTTTGAAATGACCACCTAATCTGTAGTTTAGGCTAAACTACTTAAAAATACAGAAATTACAGTTTTATTTTCTCCAACTTTAGATGGGTGCAATTCGAGTTGCAAACTGTAATCTCCACAATCAATCGGTTGGGGAAGGAATAAGTGCTGCAATTCAGGATTTTCAAGTGAGACAGTACATTGAACAATTAAATAATTGCAGAATTGGACTTCAGCCTACAGTGCTACGGAGGGCCTATTGGCTTGAAGCTGGGTCAGCCAGTTTAGGACTTATCACTGTTGATATTGCATTAGCTGCTGATCATCATTCTAAACATGAGGCACAAAGACATTTCTTAGAAATTCATGATGCCAGAACTAAGAGGTAAGTGAGAATTTTAAGAATGAAGTAGTCTCAGGTTCAGATGAAAATTACTAGATAATTATACAGGAAACTCTACTGTTAGATTAGAACAAGAACATGTTAAAGGCCTAATAATAATATTGGTGTATTTTTCTTATACTTGAAATCATCTTGTATTTATATTTTTAAATTCTGCATGTTTGTATTAAACTTATATCCTAAGCATCTGCCCACATGATTGGAGATTTTATGAAGATTCTTTTTCAACAATTGACAATAAACCATCAAAAAGGTGTATCATGCTTTACTTAGCCATTGCCCTTATATTAAATATTGAAATTGTTTCTAAATTTCCCATTATAAATGATAGTAAGAAGAACATTTTTGCACATAAAATCTTTTCTCAGACTTTCTGGCTATTTCCTTTACATAGTTTCCTAGAAGGGAGTATGTATAGGATAAAAATTGAGACTTTTGATGTGCATTCCCACATTACTTTCCAGAAATGTTTCAGTTTATATTCCAATGGCCTTTTAGGAGAGTCCCTGTCTCACTCAAACTTTGCTACCTTTTATATGTTTTATGATAACCAAAAGGTGATATCTCTTTATTTTGCTTTTTTTTTCTGAGATTGATACTTTTTTCATATATTTATTAGTTGTTTGGATTTCCTCATCTGTGAATTGCCTGTTTATATTCTATGTACACTTATTTATTGGGGTCTTATTGTTTTTCTTACCAATTTTTAAGAGCTCTTTATAGATTACCACACCTTTAGTGATCCCTGTTGCTAATATTTTGCAATTTGTTTCATCTTTTAATTTTGTTTTTATTCTCATATACAGGATGTTAATTTTTATGGACTAAAATATGTCAGGGTTTTCCATTGAAATTTCTTTTTTTAAAATTGAAACATAATTGATTATACATATTTTTGGGATACAGAGTTGAATATCAATACCCGTGTACAATATGTGATGATCAAATCGGGATAATTAGCATATTCATCATTACAAAATACAATCATTCTTTGTGTCAATTATGTAATTTCTTGTACTATACTAATTTGAGAAAATACTTCTTTTGCTAGTAATCAAATGGCACCTGTATTTTCTTATTTGTTTCTTTTTCTTCTTTTGCTAACATATAAAACTTGAATCCATCTGGATTTTATGTGGGGGGTATGTGTGTATGTGTGTGTATATTAATCTAGGCAAGGAGGTAAATAGATTTTTCTGTGAATACCTGTTCAAATATATAGGAAAAAATTTACACCTCATATATATTCATTTCTCCATTTTACAGAACATTTACTATTTTCATGTGTTAATATTCCCAAAAGAGTTTGTAGACTATTTTTCTAGTTTAAAAAAAAAACCAACCTGTTGAGATTTTTATTGAGATTACATTAATCTTTGCAATTAATTTAAGACAACTTTATGTCTTATGAATCTAAGTATGGAATATTAGAGAATGTGGAGAATATTGTTTAAAAAAAAGTTGAGTTTCTTTGTTAAGTATTGCTCAGACACCAGTTAGTATAAACAAAATGCCTGTCTCCAGTTAGGTTAGGTAGTAGAGCAAGGTGCTTATGAAGCTATGGAGGTTGCTCCAAGTGGCTCATTTAGGTTGGTTTGCTGTGGTTTGTCAAGAATTGAGAAGAGTCTGGCATTTTATCCTACTTACAAGATAACAACTTAGGCAGTCATAATTTCATGGATGCTGGCAGAAGACACAAAACTCCTGGTCAGAGAGGATATTACTCACAGCAAAAGAAATAGCCAGAGTCATGTGTTTGCATTGGTTCCCCGCAGCCCCCAAGTAGGGTTACCAGATAAAATATAGGGTGCCCAGTTAAATTTGAATTTCAGGTAAACAACAAATAACATTTTAGTGTAAGTATGTCTGACATATTTCATAGGACAAACTTATTTTTATTTTTATTTACTGAATCTGGCAATCTTATCTCTGAGTCCTGTGGGGGATGACACAAAAGGCCTATTCCATGATAGATATCTGCAAACAGTGGGTTGCATTAAAGAAGAACACTGAGCTTAGGGAATCTACCACTTTTATAGTAAATGGAAGCAAGCCTGTTCTTTTCTAAGGTGAAACATTTCTTCAACCTTCAAGCTTGCTTGCTGCAAACACAATCCTGAGAAACAGTCTGGTCAGAGCCTTGCATTCTTGGCATACCCAGCAATAACATGTAGGGATTCTTAGGGCCCATGGTGAGTTGCCTCTTCCTGCGTGGTAACCCATTGACCTTCAACTTCAGCTGCCTTTGTGCATATTGGGGAAAACATATTCATTCCTGATATTACTGGAAAAGCTACTGGGTACATAGGCCATTAGTTTCATTAGAATAATGTTTCTTAAAAGTGTAGTTCCCAAACCACTAGCATCAACATCTCCTTGGAACTTGTTAGAAATTTACATAATCAGGCCTTCCCTGACCTCAATTGGAAACTCTGGGGGTGTAGTCTAGCTACCTCTGTTTTAACAAGCCTTCCAAAGTGATTGGAATGCAAGCTAATGTTCGAGTACTAATGCGTTGGATTATACAAAAATAGGGAAGGGGAGCTAACATTTGTTGTGTAACTTCTATAATCCAGATTTTGTATTAGGTGCTGTACATGTGTCATATACCATTAAATCCCACAGAGACCTTATTGGGTGTATCATGCCATCATTTTACAGATGAGAAAACTGAGGCTCAGAGATGTTAACCAACTTGCTTAAAGTTCTAGAGTTAGTAAGTGGCACAGCTAGAATTTGAACCCAAGTCTAGAGGACTCCAAAACCATAAACTCTATTAAACTTTTGCTGCAGAAATGCAGTAAAAATGTCTATTGAGTATATAAAGTTTTTAATTTTGGTAGTGCTCCAAAATATTTTTTGCTGAATGATTCAATCTTAATACTTTAAAATAAAGTAGTGATTTGAAATTGATAATATCTAATTGAAGTAATACCTCAAACTCTCCCTCATCTTAATACCTTTTCAGACATTTCTCCTTCTGTCTTCTCTGGACTAATGTTCCATCTCTAACTTGTTTTCTATTCATTCTATCTTATCTTTCACATCTCAAATATTAGTTTTTGAAAGGTTCTACCTGTTTTCTTTGTCACCACATGGTGTTAAGTCAGGGGTTCAGATCCCCATACTGGCCAGCCGCCAAACAGAACAAAGAACAAGTAGCAAGGGTTCTTGGGCTGGCTGGTTAGATCAGTTGGTTAGAGCTCATTGTTATAACACCAAGGCCAAGGGTTCAGATCCCTGTACTGGCAAGCCACTAAAAACAACAACAGCAGCAACAAAACCAACATGCTTTTTATCTAATAGCACTTACTATAGTTTACAATTAGATATTATTTTCTTGTTTATGGCCTGTCTTTGTCTCTGTACTATGAACTTCATATGGATAAAGAATGTATCAGTTTTGGTTATCATGATACTAGGCATATAATAGATATGTTCAAGAAATATGAGTGTAAAATGAAGATGATAATATGTATTTTGTCTCCCTATGAGGGTCTTCAGAATCCGATGAAATAATGCATAAAAATGCTTAGAAAAATATACCATAAATATGAAGTGATTTTATTATTGAGATTAAAAAAAGGAGTACAGACATATCTCACAGATTTCTATTATATAATGTTTTTTAAGAAAGGAGGGGATTTAATAAATACCGGCAGATTTGTATGTGAGTCACTGACATAAAGCCTGAAGAAGTTTACATACATTCTTAATACTTTATTTGTAGTCCTTATTACAAGGGAGTGGAACTGGATAATTTATTTTTCTAAAGGTATAGAATAGTGCATTATTTTAGTTTTGTTGTTAAGTATTTTTTTACTTGCCCATATTTAGATTTTTTGGTGTATTAAAATTACAATGTAAAATAGGCCCTGAAATGCTAAAGCAATAAGTTATCTATTAAGCATAATCTGTACAGTTTTGTTTGATTTTTAGATTAGTGTTTTAAAATTTTAGGTTTTCAAAGAATGTTTACTACTGTTCTAAAGCTGAATTTTAATGTCTGATTTTTATAGTATTTTGCTTCTTTTTAACTCCGTTTTTTAAAAAAATATATGCTTTATCTATATTGTTATTGTTCCTACTTATTTCTATCTCACTGTGGTAAGACTTTTAAGAAAGGCAAAATGCTTGAAAAGACATACCACAGTAGGAATGAACCCTTGTGTTTTTGTTTACTTTGTGTTTTTTAAATTAACTTTAATTGTCTGCCAAAAAGTTTTTCATTTCTTAATGAGTTTATGTTGTTGTCTTTTATTTGTTTTGGGTTCTGTTTAGGTTGTGGTTTTTGTGGCCAGATGATACCCTGAAGAATAAGAGGTGTAGAAACAAGTGTGGTTGTCTTGGTGGCTGCAGATTCTTTGGTGGCACCATAACTGGCCTAGATTTCTTCAAACTTGAAGAGTTGACACCTTCCAGTAGCTCTGCATTTTCAAGCACCAGTGCAGAGTCTGATATGTATTATGGACAGTCTCTGCTACAGCCTGGAGAATGGATTATTACTAAAGAAATTCCCAAAATTATAGATGGTAATACAATGTGTTGTTTTGTCACTTGTGCTGATCTTTTATTATCTATCCCTATGGCATTGGAAGAGAGGTTCAGCGTTACCTTGTTCAGTTCAATTAAGTTTTTGAGTAATTTTACAGTTGGGGTTTAGTACATTCCACCATTGTTTTATAGGTGACTTAACTAAAGCCAGATAAGACTAGTGATTTTTTCAGTTACACAGGGCAAAAGTAGGTCTACTATTCAGATCTCCTGTTGTTGACGTGAGTGGCTTTCCTCATAAGGCATATTCTAAATATTTCCTTTTACAGTCATTCTTCCCTTAGTGACAGGGATATATTCTGAGAAATGCATCATTAGGCAATTTTGTGGTTGTGTGAACATCATGGAGTGTACTTACACAAACCTAGATGGTATAGCCTACTATACTTCTAAGCTATACGGTTATAGCCATTCTAATCTTATGGGACCACCATAATATATGTGGTCTATTGTTGACTGAAATGATAGACTTTGGAATAGCTGTGCTTCGAGGTAATAGTTGTTTTGCTAGCTTACTTTTATAGGAAAATTTATCAGTATTTATATTTATATTTATCAATATTTATACACTGGACTCCATGTTGCCAATTACTTTTGCAAAATATTTTCCTTATCACTAAAGTTGAACATGTCGAGGACAGAAATCTGGCCTTTCTTTAGAGACTTTTGGATAACTTTGCAAATACACTAGTTTGGTATGAGCAGTGAATGGTTGCTTTAATTGTATTAGATTTAGATTTATCTAGCATCTTTTCTCCAAAGACTTCACAGATAGATTTTCTTTTGGGTTTCTTAGTTGTGTGTTCCTACAATTAAGTGCAATATTTACTGCTTAAACTGTCATGCTGCAAAGATGTGAAATGTAGAAAAGTCTTGATATTTCACCAATATTTAGCCTTATTCCCTTTGATCCATTCAAAAACATTGTTACCTCTGTTTTTTGTCAGTAGACAAAGATAGGAAAGAAGTAATTTTAACTGTAAAAGTTTATCAGATTGATTTCTCATGCATAGGAGCTCTTAGAGGAAAGAAGTGGACTACATATGCTGAGTTCATATTTAAATGGTTTTTCAGTGAACAGTAATAACATGTACAAGCTATTTTGAGGTTGTTTTACTTCAGCAGTTTTGCTAGAATAAGAGCAGATTATTTTATTAAATCAGCAAACACCAAAACTTTTTGTCATTTAAAGGATAAGATAGATGCTAATAATTTAACAGCCTTCTTTACAAGGGTACTTCAAAAAGTTTGTGGAAAAATAGAGTTAAAAGACAACATGAATCCTTCCATGAATTTTTGGGGGGTTTTTTTGTTTGTTTGTTTTTGTTTTGTTTTATTTTATTTTATCAATATACAATGTGGTTGATTATTGTGGCCCATTACCGAAACCTGCCTCCCTCCTCCCTCTCCCACCTCCCTCCCAACAAACTAATAACTGTTCACTTGTCGTATCAACTTCAAGGAATTGTAATTGCTGTGTCTTCTTCCCTTCACCCAGCTTATTTGTGTATTTGTTCATTTATTTTTAGGTCCCATAAATAAGTGAGGACATGTGATATTTCTCTTTCTGTGCCTGACTTGTTTCACTTAATATAATTCTCTTTAGGTTCATCATGTTGTTGCAAATGGCAGTATTTCATGTTTTTTTATAGCATAGTAGTATTGCATTGTGTAGATTTACCACATTTTCCGTATCTACTCATCTGATGGTGGACTTTTGGGCTGGTTCCAGCTCTTAGCTATTGTAAATAGTGCTGCAGTGAACATCGGACAACAGGTAAACCTTCGACTTGGTGATTTCCATTCCTCTGGGTCATATGGTAGATCTATCAGCAATTGTTTGAGGAAGCTTCATACCATTTTTCATAGAGGCTGCACCATTTTGCAGTCCCACCAACAATGTATGAGAGTTCCTTTTTCTCCACAACCTCGCCAGCATTTATCATTCATAGTTTTTGGATATTAGCCATCCTAACTGGGGTGAGATGGTATCTCAGGGTGATTTTGATTTGCATTTCCCGAATGCTGAGTGATGTTGAGCATTTTTTCATGTGTCTGTTGGCCATTCGTATATCTTCCTTTGAGAAATGCCTATTCAGCTCTTTTGCCCATTTTTTAACTGGGTTGCTTGTTCTTTTGTTGTAAAGTTGTTTCAGTTCCTTGTATATTCTGGATATTAATCCTTTGTCAGATGTATATTTTGTAAATATTTTCTCCCACTTTGTTGGTGGTCTTTTAACTCTGTCAATTGTTTCTTTTGCTGTGCAGAAGCTTTTTAGTTTGATATAATCCCATTTGTTTTTTCTTTTGCTGTGCAGAGGCTTTTTAGTTTGATATAATCCAATGTGTTTATTTTTCCTTTGGTTGCCTGTGTTTTGGAGGTCATATTCATGAAGTCTGTGTCCAGTCCTACTTCCTGAAGTGTTTCTCCTATGTTTTCTTTAAGAAGTTTTATTGTTTCAGGGTGTATATTTAATTCCTTAATCCATTTTGAGTTGATATTAGTATATGGTGAGAGGTATAGGTCTAGTTTCATTCTCCTGCATATGGATATCCAGTAATCCTAGCACCATTTGCTGAAGAGGCAGTCTCTTCCCCAGTGTATAGGCTTGGTGCCTTTGTCAAAGATCAGATGGATGTAGGTGTGTGGGTTTGTGGGTTTCTGGATTCTCTATTCTATTCCATTGATCAGTGTGTCTGTTTTTATGTCAGTACCATGCTCTTTTGGTTATTATGCCTTTGTAGTATAGTTTAAAGTCAAGTAGTGTTATGCCTCCAGCTTTATTTTTTTTGCTCAGCATTGCTTTGGCTATTCGTGGTCTTTTGTTATCCCATATAAATGTCTGGACAGTTTTTTCCATTTCTGAGAAAAATGTCATTGGAATTTTGATAGGGATTGCATTGAATTTGTATATCACTTTGGGTAGTATGGACATTTTCACAGTGGTGATTCTTCCAATCCAAGAGCATGGGATATCTTTCCATCTTCTTGTGTCCTCTTTGTCTCAGCAGTGCTTTGTAGTTCTCATTATAGAGATTTTTCACATCCTTGGTTAACTCTATT